CTCAGCCAGTGAGCGGGAACCGGTCTGTATGTGGGATCCGAACCCTCGGGCGGGAGCGCCGCCGCACTTCCCAAGCGGCGCACTATCCAGTGCGCCACCGGGCTGGCCCGAAAGACCTAGAATTTTAAAAGCAACTTATTATGCATCATGATTTCAAAAAATCAAAGACTTCAAATGGTGTCACAAATTGTTCTCAGGAATGGTTATTCTATTCCTTTAGTACTTTGTATTAGTATATTTTCTGGATTAGTTACATACATTCCTTTTTTAACCCAAATGTTTCACAATATACATTCTTGAATTTTTTTGTATTTTTTCTTTATGTTTAAAGTTTATAAATTATTTTTTTCCATTTGTTCATTTATTCAACAAATGCTACTGAATGCCTATTTGGAGTCAAGCAAGACTCCAAATACTGGCTGTACAATGATAAGCTGAAATAGGTACTGTTCATAGACAGTTTATCAGCATTCAGTCCAGGATTTTTTTTTTTAACCTGAGTGGGTAGAAGATAATTTTCAACATATCCCTTGTGCAGAACTCTCAATTTAAATGTGCGTGCACAACAGTTGAATGCATGGTTATTTTCAAATATTTTCTGATTTTTGGTAAGGGATCGTATGGTGCTATCTTTGTTCTGTTCCAGGAGATTATGTGGTCATGTCTGTCTACTTTGATCTGAGCAGAAGAATGGGGTACTTCACCATACAGACCTACATTCCCTGCACGCTGATCGTCGTCCTGTCCTGGGTGTCTTTCTGGATCAATAAAGATNTAAGGGATCGTATGGTGCTATCTTTGTTCTGTTCCAGGAGATTATGTGGTCATGTCTGTCTACTTTGATCTGAGCAGAAGAATGGGGTACTTCACCATACAGACCTACATTCCCTGCACGCTGATCGTCGTCCTGTCCTGGGTGTCTTTCTGGATCAATAAAGATGCTGTTCCAGCCAGAACATCTTTAGGTGAGATAGCAGTTACATAAAAACACCATTTGTTTCATTTTAAAGAAAGTTAGCTTATTTTTTTTAGTTGTGTTTAAAATTTTCTAGTTCTGTAGTTCTGTTTTTCTTAATTACCTCAATGGTTTTTCTTTAGTAATTTTTCTTAATACCTTTAAGTTAATTATAAAAACTTTTAATTTCAGCTGACTTTTTTGTTTTGGTCTTTGAGCAGTCATATGCTGAAGCTCCTCACACCAGCTCATGAGAGCTCACTGTGTTTATTTTTTCCCAATTCTGTATGTTCATTGGTAGTTCGGAAGTATTACCAATATGGAAATAGCAAACATTAAAAATCTGGCCCTTCCTTTTTCCAGAGTGTCCACTGTAAGACGTTTACCAGCACACCACTGGCTGCTGGTAAATTCTAACATGCAGTTATTGTGATGTCATTTGAAATAATGGGCTTTGAAAAGATTGTTTTGGAGACAACATATTTACTTGTGAAAATTTGGGGAAAAAACACTTTTGAGATTATCTGCATTTAGCTAAGATGATATTCATCTTGCATTTTTACATCTTCTTCTTCATGAGAGAGAAGTCTCACACAGACCAAAACAAAGCCACAGA